GCAGGAATGGATGACAATGAAAAATACCTGCATGCAGTGTTTATCTGTGCTCCCTATAATCCTTCAATGTTGTTTATGTCGTCTGTGTGAAAACCACCCTCATTTTCTTCAGATAATACTTTACAGTGTCTGAAGACTAGTAGGCTCCCCTCAGCATGAATGAACTTACTAGAACTATGTGTGGAAATTACCTTGCCACTTGTGTTGTGAAACTTTAGGTACCCATTAGGCAGTGTGTAGTATCACTTCAATGCTGCCCAGGACCTTGTGGGCTGGTTACAATTGCTGGTGCAAGTAGCGTTGGTACCCAGTTTAAGCGTATCTTTCTGAGAACAGTGACCTCTGGCTCGGGGGGCTGCAGAGCACCAGGTCCCCTGAGCCCCTGGGAGAGCAGGTGTTGTCTTCGTCCATTGTGTAGAATAAGACAGCTCTGTAACTCAGTCAGAATATGCATCATGTCTAAGGACGTTCAAGTATGAGCATTTGTGTATCAAATCACCCTTATTATTGACACTTGTATACTTAATGCTTGAATCAGACAGGCTCTTTTCAGATAAGTAAATTTTTGCACGATTTATCGAAGTGGGTAGAAGTTGGTGTTGCGACGGGCCCACATCCCTTTTCTGATGCTCTCGGGGCTAGATGTGGGTTGAATCAGAGCTTCTCAGATTTCAGAATGGCAGTGTGGTGCGTGGGTGTATAACGACCATCGAGTCAACATTAGTGTCTGTAAGTAACCCCCAGGGGCCTGGGCAGCACCCTGTAACCCAGAGTGTCAGGTTTTCTGTAGCCTGAGGTGTAAGTACTCATCATTGTGAGATAACTACACCCCAAATAGCCTCAGGCTAGCCCGGTGTTGCCACCGCACGAGTTCAGGTCACGTCAGGTCTTGTCCACTAAAGAATTATCACAGAAAGAGAAAAACAAATATCGAATATAATGCATATATGTGGAATCTAAAAAAATGGTATAAATGATCTTATTTGCAAAACAGAAATAGAGACAGACATAGAGAACAAACGTATGGATACCAAGGGGGTAAGAGGGGGGTGGGATGAATTGGGAGATGGGGATTGATATATATACACTATTGATACTATGTATAAAATAGATATCTAATGAGAACCTACTGTACTGCACAGCACAGGGAACTCTACTCAGTGCCCTGTGGTGACCTAAATGGGAAGGAAATCCAAAAAAGGGGATATATGTATACGTGTAGCTGATCTACTCTGCTGTATGGTGGAAACTAACACAACAATGTAAAGCAACTATACTCCAATAAAAAAAATGAAAATGTAAAAACAAAAAAGAGTTATACAGAAAAGTTTCTGTTTTCATAGCTTTTTAGATTTTGAAATCACCAGTAAGTGACTGTGGATTTGTAATTCTACACATTTTGTTTTTTAATACCTCAGCTGTACCTCTTGCATTCTTCCCAGTTTGTTTGGACCTGTTAAAACTGTTGCTATTTGTCACTCAAGATCTTGACCAAGTTCTTTATAGAAAGTAAGAAACTGTACAGAAATACCAGATATCAAAGGGAAGGAATGTGCCTTGGATCTCTCCTTAGCACTGGCATCTTGACGTCTGCAAAACCTCCGGGGTCAGGGCAGGAGGCTTTTCCCAGCGCCCGACAGTTTAGGGACCTAAGCTCCCTTATTGCAGGTTTTCGCATTCTATATAGATATCTGGTATTCCTTACCTAATAGGAAGAACACTGCTGTGTAAACCTCTTAATTAAATGTTAATTGAGCCTGGTAGGGGCCAAGGTACTCTGAAATATTGGGTTAGCACCTTGGAGTCTGGTTTTCACACCACTGACACAGCATGCTTCCCGCCCCACAGTACAAATGACAATGTTACTAGCACAGAAGCCGAAAATGTGAGCAACTCCTGTATCTGCAAGTCTTAGAAGCTCTCAGACCCACCCGATAGCCACATTTTACCCTGAGAAGGAAGGAGATAATTCGAAACATCAATTGCCACAGTGTTTGAAGTCGGCTTCTTATCTTGTCATCATGTTTTGTCTGTAGCAAAAAGAGACATTCTATTTCTCTTAAAAGTGTTTTTAGAGGGAAAAAATAGTCTGTAAGGTTGTTTTTTTTGTTTGTTTGTTTGTTTTTGCGGTACGCGGGCCTCTCACTGTCGTGGCCTCTCCTGTTGCGGAGCACAGGCTCCAGACGCGCAGGCTCAGTGGCCATGGCTTACGGGCCTAGCCGCTTGGCGGCATGTGGGATCTTCCCGGACCGGGGCACGAACCCATGTCCCCTGTATCGGCAGGCGGACTCAACCACTGCGCCACCAGGGAAGCCTATCTGTAAGGTTTTTAAGGCTGGCCTCTTGCTGTAAATCTGTGAACAAGGAACATATTTGAACTCTAAGGCTTGCAGTGTGAAATGAACACTGGCTCATTATTCTGAGCATCTGGAGATACTGATTCAAGTGATGTTTGGAGAGTAAGGAGATTAGGGAAGTGGCTGACAGCACTTATGAACTCTGTGATATATGCTGGCCTGTTACTCAACTATTTGCAAATTTCCATTACTAATTACAAATGGAAAAAAATTTGTTTATTAGATTTTTCTTGAAGTCCATTTTAGGCCAGTAGTAAATCATGGTGGGTAAACGTGGCTGATTGAAGCCTTATCTGAGAGTAATACTGAGAACTGACAGGGAGTGACATGATGACAAAGAATGGCACAGCAGCAAACCAGGGATATTTGGTACAAGGGCAGGCTGTGGCACCCCTTCATGTGCCCATGTGTCTTAGTACAGGACTCAAGTTATACATGTGTTCGCTTTAAGAAGGTTTACTACTCCTGAGCTTCTATAAAGATTTTCTGTCCCATTCAGTGTATAGTGCTGCGTCTGTACTCAGTAAATGTTTGCCGAGTGGATGAAAGTATATATTTTGTATTAGAGATGTTTTATATTAAAAATGTTAAAAAAAATAAATAACCTTTGGGCTTAAAGGAGCAGGCTCAATTAATGAAAGTTCACACATGTACAAAACTTCATACATGGTTTTTATATATGAGTCACTGAATCTAGTTTGTTCAACTAGGTTTTTCTTATACATAGTATAAAAACCAGATGCATAACTAAATTGCAAATATATTTATGGCTTTTAAAGAGTATCCTTGCGTTGGGTATACCCCGGGCTGCCCAGTGGGCTCACATTGCCTGGGATGTGAACACACTCTCTGAGGCTCATTTCTCATAGTTTCTGCTGCTTACTCTTCGGGAGTTTGAGTCTGACAGCCCTCCCAGGGCCTCTCCCCGTCAGCCCCCTCTTTCCGAGGGAGCGGGGGCTCCCCAGGCACTTCACACCAGGACTCCCTCAGGGTGCATCACAGCCAGGCTGGGCTAAGTCCAGGGCCCTGTGTGCCTCGTGCCCACCGAGGGCTGGCTGGGCCTGATGCCCTGTCAGCTCACTTGGTGTCCTCCCAGCATCCTCCTTCGGGTGCTTCCCCCATCACTGCTCTGCGTTTCTTCCCCTCCTTCGCCTTTGTGCTCTGCCCTCCGGAAGCCCTCTTCTTGGGTTAAGCGATAGCCCTACAGCCTCGGCCTCTTGTTTTCACCTCCTTGGCTGCAGAAACCTGGGTTTTCTCTGATGCTTCTCTGTCTCCCTCGGGGGTATGGGGGTGAGACCACGGTCTTTTTTCCTTCAAGCCCCATTCCAGACCTCATCCGCCACCCCATCTACGGAAACCTCTCTCCCTTGACGATGCTGCCTTCTTCCCCTTGTTGTTGCTATGTCCTCTGATCTTCTGCTCGCTTGCTTTTCTTTTTTAATGACTTTACTCTCTCCCAGTCCTTTTCCTTCATGGCAGCCATAGCTACCCATCAGCCCCTTGACCCCCCTCGCCTTCTGTGGCTTCCTGACTTCTCTTCCAACCCTTGTCATGATGTAGATCTCTGTCTGACCACAGTCTCCATCCGTGATCTTTCACTCAGTCATTTCCAGGCTACCTGCTCTGTTTTTTCTTTTTTTTAAATACAGCTTTTTAAAAGTATAATTGACATAAAACAAATTGTACATGTTTAAAATATACATTTTCATAAGTTTAAGCATAGGTATACACCTGTGAAGCCATTGCTGCAATCAAGATAATGAACATAGCCATCACTCCCAAAAGTTTCCTCCTGCCCCATTCCACCCTTCCCCAGCTCACCCCCCAGTCCCCAGGCAACCACTGATCTGCTTTTTGTCCTTATAGTTTGATTTTTTAGAGTCTTATAGAAATAGAATCATGCAGTGTACTCTTTTTTGTTTGGCTTCTTTCACTCAATATAATTGAGAGTCATCTGTGTTGGTGCATATATTAATAGTTCATTCCTTTTTATTTCTAAGTTGTACAGTAGTCCACTGAATGGATAAACCATAGTTTTTTTATCCATTCATTTGATGATGGGCCTTTGGGTTGTTTCTAGTATGTGGCTACAAATAAAGCTACTGTAAACATTTGTGTACAAGTCTTTGTGTGTGGACATGTGCTTTCCAGTCTCTTGAGAATGGAATGGCTGAATCAAATAAAGACATATGTTTAACTGCCAGACTATTTTTCCAAGTGGTTGTACCACTTTACATTCCTGTCAGCAGTGTGAGAGTTCTGATTACTCCACATTCTCATCAACACTTAGTCTCATCAGTCTTTTAATTTTAGCGGTAGTGGTATCTTGTTGTGGTTGTAATTTGTATTTCTCTAATGACTAATGATCTTGAGCATCTTTTCATGTGCTGTTTGCCACCTGTTTGTCTTTGGTGAAGTGTATCGTTGAATCTATTTTTATTTTTTATTTATTTATTTATTTTTTGTGGTACGTGGGCCTCTCACTCTGTGGCCTTTCCCGTTGCAGAGCACAGGCTCCGGACGCGCAGGCTCAGTGGCCGTGGCTCATGGGCCCAGCCGCTCCGCGGCGTGTGGGATCTTCCCGGACCGGGGCACGAACCCGTGTCCCCTGCATTGGCAGGCGGACTCTCAACCACTGCGCCACCGGGGAAGCCCCTATTGCCTATTTTTAAATTGAGGGTTTTCCCCCCTAATACTGAATTTTAAGAATTCTTCACATATTCTGGTTATAAGTGTTTCCATCAAATGTATGATTTGAAAATACTGTTTTCCCGGCTCTGGCTCATCTTTTCATTTCTTTAATAGTGTCCTTCAAAGAGTAGAAGTTCTTACTTTTGATGAGATCCAATTTATCACTTTTGCTTTTATGGATTGTGCTTTTGGTGTCATGTCTCAGGAATCTTTGCCTAACCCAAGATCACAAAGATCTCCTGTGTTTCCTTCTAGAAGTTTTATAGTTATATATTTCACATTTAGGCCCTTGATTCATTTTGAGATAATCATTGTTAATTTCAGCTTCCTCCGGTAGACTGCTGCTCCCCTGGCCTTAGATGTTGTAGTGCCAGAAAGTCCTGTGCTTCTGCTCCACTGGCACTTTCAGCAGAGCTTGTACACCAGCACCCACTTGGCATTTCTCCATGTTCTTGCCCCTTCTCTGATGTCATACTGCCATCGCTTATTAATTGGCTTGAGGCATGATGCATACACAGAGGGAGGTTTTTTTTTAATTAAAAATAAATAAGAAAGAATTTTATAATGTTAAAGTTGACACGTCTTTGTGAAATTGTGGCCTTAAAAATATCTTTAAAAGATCTTGAAAAGATTGCCACTTTATCAGGAGAAATCTTCAAGCACTGCAGTTCTTATCAGTGAGATAAGCAAAGAAGTAGACTTTGAAAACATTGATTAATTTGCTTCCATTAAAGCCAGGAAAGTAAAATTATAATACATTCTGTGTTATAAATATTTAGTGTGATTTTTCATTATACTTTTTCATTTTTCAATATTAAGCTTTTTGATTTTTCAATATTTTTCAACTACTTTACTGTACTCATTCATTTATTCTTTTTTCACATGAGTCAATATAGTGGTAATCAGTAGGCTTGAAGAGGCACATAAAAGAGATGGAGGTGGGTATAATCACAGTTTGGTTGAGGAGATTAAAAATCCAAACAGGAATGATATACAGAGAGAAACTTTTTGAAATTAAAATGAAACTGATTTCATAATGGTAAAGTAAAAGTGGAAATATCTTTGTGAACTTAGGGTCTTTAAGAAATACCTAATGTGACCAGGGAAGGCTCTCAGGTACTCATCACCAATTCTCATGTTGAAACCTTCTGACATGTGCCTGCACTGCACACATTTTTCTTTCTAATGTTGATCTTATTTAAAAAGAGGTCCTTAGAGAATAGCTGATGCCCTGTCTTTCAGGGGGAATGTGCTTCGCATGTACCAGACACTGTTCTAAGCATGTATATAAACTCATTCAAGCCTCATTGCAGTGCTCTCTGGTAGGCACTGTTATTATCCCATTTTACAGATGAGAAAACTCAGGCATGGTGAAACTAAGTAAGTGACCCAGGTTACACAGTAAGCACAGAACCTAGATTTGAACGCTAGCAGTCTGGCTCCTGAATCTGGCTTGCAGCTGCTAAGCTGCACTGCCTCACACATCTGAGAGTTTCTGAATACAGCAGGATGGAATAGATCAAATATATATGTATTAGTTTTCTATTGCTGCTGTAACAAATTAACAGAATCATTTCAAAAAGTAGGGTACTGTTGACAGATATGGGGCATTGATTCTCTATGTCTCTTTGTAAAGTCTGCCCTTTTCCTATGTATTTTCTCCTCCCTGTGTAGGGAAGTGTGGATATAGGCAACTATGGGTAGGCTGAGAGTTTAAAATAAAAATGTTGAGCCCATTTCAAGAAGGGGAAGGAAGGACTGACAACCCCCCCGTGGTCACACACAATGAGCAGGAGAAAGTGTTTCCGAGAATGTGTTGCAAGATGATGGATTTGCCGGATGTCTGGGAAGAGAGCTGTCTGTGCACACTTTATCCCAAGTCTCCCAGGAGGTGAGGTTCTGCCAGCTCTGCCAAGCCTTGGGAGGTCCTCATGGGCATAATGGAGCAAATACTAAGCTGAGGCAGAGTGGACTTGGCCCAAGAATGGTTGAACAGGGAGGCGAGGGACGAAGACCAGGTGGAGGACAGGTGTGGGATAAGTAGTCCCGTGAGCACAGGCACTCAGGGCTTGGCTGTGAGAGAGCCCAGCCTAGTCAATGCTGACTCTGGACCCCAAATCACTGGACGTGCTTTGGTGACAGATGTGGAGGGAAGTGGGCGTTTTAACTTCCTACTTCATCACAAACCATTAGTAATTCAGTGCTGCAACCTAGTCACGACGATGGTGAGTTCCCACCGAGCCCAGCGTTAGGTGTTATCAACAGTACAGCAGATAGCTGTACAAGGTTCCTTCAGAAAGCCAATGATTTCATTCCAGGTAATGAATTCCTAAAGTTTATGCATTTAACCGACATACGTGTATCTGTCCACATAGATACAACCTGTAGCAGTTGTCGAGGCACTGGCTCTATTTCTTCAAAATATGTCGGTGGTGTAAAGTGACTTGATATCCAATTTTAAAATATTGCACAAAACTTTCCATCAGGAAATCTAAATAATTTTTTTTTTCTCAAAAAAATTGGGAAAAAAGGTTCTCTCGCTTAAGACTTCTAATTTATTTTTATTTTAAAAGATTACTTCCGGGGCTTCCCTGGTGGTGCAGTGGTTGAGAGTCCGCCTGCCGATGCAGGGGACACGTGTTCGTGCCCCGGTCCGGGAAGATCCCCACATGCCGCAGAGCGGCTGGGCCCGTGAGCCATGGCCGCTGAGCCTGTGCGTCCAGAGCCTGTGCTCCGCAACGGGAGAGGCCACAACAGTGAGAGGCCCGCGTACCGCAAAAAAAAGATTACTTCCTTTTTGAGGTTGAGATCTCATTTAAGGACTACATGTGACACTGAGGTGTGGTTGCCAAGCCATCTCTATGCTAAAGGCATGAACACATCTAGCGAGTAACAGGTACTATGTCTCCATCCTCATGAGGGAGACTTCCCCCCCAAGTGGGCTGTAGCACCAGCTGGTGTAGTTCTGAGGAAACCTTGAATTCCTCTCCTCAACAGTGACCTAAGTGCTCTGCTAGATGATTTATTGATGAACAGAACCCATAAGTGTGGTTGTCATTGCAAAGAGAGAGACATGCTGTCCTGAATATTTGCAAAATGGTCTTGTAAAAATGTTTTGTGAGTGGTAGTTTTATATTATGTTTTCCTTTAGAGATTTAAAGAAATCATTCATTTTGTGCTTGACAGAGACATTTGCACATAATCCACTGTGGGCATTTGGGTTACCTTAATATCAATCACTTTGACTCTTTTAAAAGAATTTTGAAGAGGTTCATACTTAAAGTATTTTTATCCTAACAACATCTCTCCAACATTGCTTTGCTTCTGAAGGTCAGCCTTCTTCCTTTTATTTCTTAAAAATGATATCTTTTGTCATAAGTACATTTTTTCTTTCTAAAACTAATTTTTAAAAAATAGGTCTTAGATATGCATTCACATACTCCATTTCTAATTCATTGTTTTAAACTTTCAGGCTCAACGTTAAAGAAGCTTCTACACACTGGAAATTCTATTAAGGTATTTATTTTAGATGAAAGTGTAATGGCTTTTTTCATTACTCTTAAACTTATTCATGCCAGAAAGTGACAAAATTAGGCCATTTTGAAAAAAAAAACTTTAAAAGCCATTTAACTTAATTTTTATTTTAATTGAGAAATGATATGACAAATATTGTTAGAGTTTTTATACTTACATCATAATTCATTGTGCTAGACATTTTAAACATTATTAGGAGAAAGTGGCTTGGCATTCGGAGTTTAGAATCCTGCGTTCTAATTTCGATTCTGCCGTGTGCAGCCAGGGGACCACCGGCGAGGTGCTGACTGCTTCAGCTTTATCATCAGAAAAGAGACGTTGAACCAGATCCTCCCTAAGCTTCAGAGCTAATGTGCCTGATTCTGTTCACCCCAGTACTCTTGTTGTTAAAAATTATAGTTGTCTCTCAATTATTTTTTGCTTCTTTTTTTTTTTTTTCTTTCTTTTTGCGGTACGGGGGCCTGTCACTGCCGTGGCCTCTCCCGTTGCGGAGCACAGGCTCCGGACGCGCAGGCTTAGCAGCCATGGCTCACGGGCCCAGCCGCTCCACGGCATGTGGGATCCTCCTGGACCGGGGCACGAACCCGTGTCCCCTGCATCGGCAGGCGGACTCTCAACCACTGCGCCACCAGGGAAGCCCTATTTTTTGCTATTTTTGAGAACACTTGTGGGGAAAAAGAGCAGCAGAGGTTGACTCTTGAATGTTTATTTGCAGCAGATTGATCTTGTAATTTAAGTTAAAATTGGCTTATTTTAAAATGAATGTGCCTTTTATAAAAGTATACCATTTGATACTGGAATAAGATGACCCTAAAACATAAGTGGCAAAAGAAGCCAGCCTGGGATGTATGTTTTATGGAAGATAATTCACTTCATAGCTATTTAATTTATGTGCGTGCCTTTAATAAGTTAATACATTTTTGGTTTTATATCAGTTTAAACAATCCTAGCCACTCAAACTGGATAGGTTCACTCTCTCTTACCTGTTGGAAAAAAGAGATGAGCTGTCCCTAGTTTCATGACTGTTCCATATTTTGTCCCTCCTGTTTTAATTAATTGCTTGGCTTGAAGACTTGCTGTGGAGGAATCAGCACCACTTTGGTGTCACTGAAAGGAGATCAGGCAGCCCCTCAGTTGCCTGTATTTGGAGCTCACTACGTCTTTCAGCTGCGTCTGACATTTTTTTCATCTCCTTTGCTTATTTAACCTCTTTTATTGACATCATCTTCCCAGCCATTTAGGAATATAAAAATGGAGTTATCTGTGTTTATGAATTCTAGGAATGGGAAGTTGAAAGTAAGTGCAGAGGAGGAAAAAGGGCACATCTGCCTATATTGCAACGATTCGGCGCATGACAAAGGGTAGGAGAGAATAGAGTAGGGACACAGACAGGGGAGCCAGGTCTTCAGGGTCCTATTCAGCTCTAAGCATTCTGATTTTCAAGAACATCATACATGTGCATAATGTAGTGATATGACAAAAAGTCTATCCAAAGCACAGTGTAAGTTTGGAGGACGATTCTCTTTGCATTGTTTTCATGAGTATTCAAGCATTGATGGTATGGGTGCTGTTGCCATAAAGAATGAAATACTGCTTATAGGAAATGCTTAGGTAGCACTTATGTGAGCTGGGCAGTTCTAACTCACTTCACCCCATACCAGCACTTTGTGGTAAACTCTGTTATCATCCCTGTTTTACAGATGAGGGCGTCGAGGCACAGAGGAGTTAAGTGGTCCTCCGCGGCTCACAGCTAAAGCTAGAAAGTGGCCGAGGCTGCACTGGAGCTCAGGCACTCTGGCCCTCGTGCTGGGTTGCAGTGCCCTTGCTTCCTGGTCACTGAGGGAAGGACTTGGTGCAGGACTTCAGTAATGCTTTTAGCTTCTAGTTTATTTTCCCCCAGAACCAATGCTACATTGCAACGCACTCCTACAGATACATGTACATATTTACTTTTGTTGCCTTTGATATTGTTTTTAGATAAGATGTGAAGGAATCAGGCTGTTTCTGCTGTGGCTTCAAGCACTTCAGACAAACTGTGCAGAAGAGCAGGTGCTGATCTTTGCTTGCCTGGTGCCCGGTTTCCCAGCCATCCTGTCGTCCAGGGGGCCCTGTACACTGGAGACACTCATCAATCCTGGCCCCAGCACAGCTGACGGTGAGCGATGGTGGTGCATCTTACAGGTGGAAACAACCCTCCAAGTTGCGTTGCGGAATTCCTTGGTCTGTCCTTTTCCTGAATAGAAACCTTGGTTTCATAGATGGGTAGTCATGTTTCGTATTCACAGTAGATTCTTACAAACATTAGAACTGACAGAGTTGGAGCCTGTTTTATATGAAATGATGACAGGAGAAATTTACTGGAGTGGTGGAAACAGGAATGGAAGGGAGGGGACGGCTGTTGGCAGGAGCAGAGACACATGGTACGTCCGGAGTGAGTGCTTTTGTTGCTTTTAGTGAGATTTAAATCTGCCTCCCAAACTGCTGCCTGTTGCCCTCATCGCGATTGTTCTATAAGTGGGCGTTCATCTGCTCCCCCAGGCTCTTTGTTGCCAGCCGTGTATTTTCATGCAGTGTTCATGGAAGGACAGTGGTGGCCTCACTGGACTATTAATGCCAGCCGTTTGTGCCCAGTGAGTTTTCAAGGAACTTGCCCATTAGGGCCACCGATTTATTACTGCCTATCACTTTATTGCCCAGTGACAGGTATTTGATCTTGGGCTGGCCAGAGCAGAATGTGAAAGGGAAAAGAATGGTCCAGTGAGGGAGGTGGCTTCATGGGCATCTGTCCCCTGTGTCAGATGGGCCTGGCCTGAAGTGTGAGCAGTTCCAGTGGTTGGTACATATATTTTATTTTATTTTTTTGAAATTTTTATTGGAGTGTAGTTGATTTACAGTGTTGTGCTAGTTTCTGCTGCACAGCAAAGCGAAGCACATGTATTTTAATAGAGGCCATTTTTCAAAGCCCTGTTTGAAATTTAACTGTCGTGAAAGAGGTTTCCTTATTTTCCACTCTGCAGCAAAGATATATCCAGAAGAAATCACGCCACTCCTGCCAGCCATATCAGGGGAAAAGATCACTGAGGACCAAACATGCTTTTTTCTTCAAATACTGTTGAAATATATGGTTACTCAGGTATGAGCAAAATCGTGGATAATTCAGTGATGGTCGTATTCTCAGTAGGAAAGAGAAAACCTTGCCTCTTTTCTTCCTCTGTTCATACTTTATATTTTTGCTTTTTCTTTGAGGTGATTTTATTTGGTATTTCACTAAACATAGAATGCGTGCCAGGACACTTCAGCAGAGACCAGGCCTACATACTAGTATGTGTGTGTGTGTGTGTGTTTGTGTGCGCGAAGGACGCAATTCCATCCTCCATCTGTCTCCTTTACTTTCATATGGTTTCATATTATTCACACAGAACACTTCACTTATGACAGTTCTGCTCACCAGACGTGTGGGATTTGAATCACCTAGTAATTCTCTGCGACACTAGCCGAGTGTCTTACAATTTAACTCACTTCCGACACTCTCTACCTGGAGGTGGCCTCAGGTCTCACGGGAAGGGACTCAGTCCTCTAATGTGCCCCCACCCCCTCAGATGCCAGTTGCAGGGAGTCAGTCCCCAGGTTGCCCACGACTTCTGTCCCATCTGCCTACAAATCAGAGGTTCCCGTGACTCACTCCTCAGGTTCAATTCATTTTCTGAGTGGCTCACAGAACTCCGGGAAGCATTGATTTACGTTTCCCAGTTTATGAAAGGATATGATAGAGTACACGGTTGAACAACCAGATGCAGACACACACAGGGTGAGGTCTGGGGGCACCTGGGGCGCAGGGGCTTCTGTCCCTGTGGACGGGGGTGCGTTCCCCTCCTGGAGTGTCCGTGTGTTCAGCCCGGACACTCCCTGAAACTCAGGCTGTTGGGATTTTTCTGGCAGCTTCTTCACGGGGACCTGATCAATTATTAACTCCATTTCCAGCCCCCCTCCCGCCTCTGGAACAATGGGGCAGGGGGCGGGGAGAGGTTGAAAATTCCAAGCTTCAGACCGAGGCTTGTCCTCCTGGTGACCAGCCCCTTCCAGGAGCCCCTTCAGAATTGCCTAGAGCTCTTGTCACTTAGAAGTGACCAGGGTGTTAGGGCCTCTGTGCCAGGAGCCAGGGGCAGAGACCAGTATAGGTATTTCTGTTATCTCAGAGTATCTGACGATTTTTGTCTGTTTGCTCCTTTCCTGCCCCTGTTGGTGGGAGGATGAGGGAGGAGCAAGCCCGAGGCTGGCCGGACGGGTCCAGAATGATTGGGCAGAGCGGGCAGGGGTCCTGAAGGAAAGCCGTGGAATGATCTCATCCTGCCGTCAGCACGGCCTGCTTTATGGCGGGTGGTCCTTTCTCTGAAATTTACCAGCTGAATACAGAACTAAACTAGGGGATTTATGTCTCTTGTTCTGTATTTCTGAACAGTGATGAGGTTTGGAAAAAGCTACTGCTTCTTTTCTCTCAGTGAACACGTCCCTGGTCCCTGAGCTCCTCCGGGGTGTCGTCCAGGCTCTCTCCTTCCCGTCACAACCTGAGTTGTTGACGTGTAATCTCTGCCATGTCCGCTTCCTCACCCAGTGGGCCTTTGACACCCGCTGTCGCCTGCCTCTGCCCCGTCACCGCGAAATCAGGGACCCGGGATGCACAGGGTTCTAGTGTCAGGTCCAGAGAAGGACACTTGAGTGTTTGTCGTCCTTGATCTTCCGGGTGATTCCAGGGGACCCCCTTCTTTGTCAGGGTCTCTCCTCCTGTGATGCTTCCCCTCCCATCCTTTCCTCCTTCCCACCTTCCTCTAGGAGGCTTTGTTTCTCACTGCCCTTTCTGCCCCCCGTGTCCCGCGGGGCGACCTACTGTGCTCTCCTCTCCCCGACTCCTTAAGCAGCACCGCAGGCACAGGACTCCCACATCCTGAGCGCCTGGCCTGGGTTCTGTCGCCATCAGGGAGCCCCACGTCCTAGCTGTGCGGCGCCTCCTGCACGCCTCTCAGCCCCATATGTCAGGAGTAGTTGGGTCGGGCTTTCCATCCATCCCAGGAGAGCAGCAGAGTAGCCAGAACCCGGATGTGCTGGGGGACTTGGGTTTCATTCCAGACATGTGAGCTCAGATGAGTCCTGTAGCCCCTGGGACCCCATCAGAGGAAGGATTGGTAGAGGGTGGAGGTGACCCCCCTCCACTGTGTGCAGGATAGTGTGTGTGTGTCTACCCGCCCCCTCCCTCCCTCGGCCTGTTGGGTGGGTGGGTCCTCGGAGCAGAGCTTCGCCCTTGCTTCACCCCGGGGGGCTTCTGACAGGTGGGAGACATGGGTCCCTCTGCCCCAGGTCGGCCACGGCCCCTCCTCCCTGGACCGCAGGTGCCCCAGGGGGGCCGAGTCAGGAAGGTGTCGGGAAGCTCTGCTCTAGAGCGCGCTGTGGTCTCACAAGTGTGACGGCCAGTGGCAAGCATTCTCTAAGGGCCTGTTCACTCCACGTTTCCCTCAGTCATGGGAGGACCCCCCCCCCCCACCCCCCCCCCCCCCCCCACCCCAGTCCCCATCTGGGCTCCTGGCCTGTGTGGGCCTCTCCCTGCGGGGGAGCTGTTTGCAGTGCTCCCACTGGGGGATGCGGCGCTGGTTATTTGAGGGGGAAACAGTGTCTCGACACTGTGAAAGGGTTAAACTTAGTCTGTAGCTGGGCTGGCAGGCCAGGTTTATCCCAGCCTGCGGATTGCTCTATTTTTTTAATTGAAATACAGTTGCTTTACAATACTATGTTAGTTTCAGGTGTACAGTGAAGTGATTCAGTTATACATGTAGCCTATGGATTGCTTTTCATGCCCTTTCCAAGATTCCACAGCTTTGCGTTTTGATAATGATTTTGCATGTAGGTAACACTGGATAAAATTCTTGCAAGGGATTGTTTCCTTAATTCTTGTTTACAGTAAATGGCCTTTTTTGAATTAAAAAAAAAACACCTGATTAATTCTGACAGAACATTTTAAGGGCACAAAGAACATTAAATCATTAAAGATAACATGTAGAAAAAAATATGGGCATGATGTAGTAGGACAAGTTTAAAAAGATATGGTATCATTGTTTTTTTTTTTTGAATATCCGGTAAAAATTCTGTTTTTAACCTAGTTACTGTTTTGTTTTGAAGTATTCCTTGTCATCTTTTGAGTTTTAAGGTATTATTACATAACTGTCACAGCTATTTCTCACGTTTTTTATTTAGGATAGGGATTTTAATAACATAGCAACATTTCAGTTGAGTATTCATTAACCTGAAATGTAACTGTATATATGTTTTTCCCATGTATTATCTGAAGGTCGCAAGCTTGGAGTGGAAGCACAAGGAGAATCAAGAGACTGGTTTTAAATTTCTTTTTACATTGTTTAGAAAGTATTACCTTCCTCATTTGTTTCCATCATTTACCAAGTTAACGAACATCTACAAGCCTGTGCTTGGTAAGTACTGAGTGGGCTATGTGTCCCGCCTCTTCCAAAGTGGCCTTTGATTATTTTTAAATAAAATAATCATTCTTTCTCATGTTTAATGGTAACTTTGTTGTAAGAAATTTACGGTTTCCTAATGAATGATTTTAACTATTTGTACAAACTAAGATTTACCTCAGTTCACGGCAATAAAGGGAATCTGTGGCTCCTGTACTTAGAAGTAATTTGATATGTATCATGGTATTTTTGGTGTAATTACATTTAATAAATTTTTTAATGTAAAAAAACCTGAATTTCCTGAAGTATACGCTTATGGGTGGTGGGGTGTGGAGACCCCAGACCTTGCCCAGGGATGAGGCCAGCACAGGCCACAGAGCTGCCCTCAGTATGGCTTTTTCAGCACTGGATCCTTCATCCAGCAGGTGCTACTCACAGCTTCTAATGGAGGGACAGATGTTTGGGTGACTGGGGAACCGAGGGACGGTGAGCCCCCAAGAGACAGGAAACATAAGGGGATTTCTAATTTAGCTTCCAGGGTTTTCCTTCTATAAGAGGTGAGGACACATAGGACAGAAGCATCCCTTGCAGTGGTGGCAGAGGGAGTGGGGTGGTGGACAAATCTTTCTCTCCCTATTATTTTAAAATGAATGAAAATAGTTCAAATAAATGATCAAGAACAGTTTTGGCAGAGAGAAGGTCATAACAGCCGTTAACACATCTGGGGAGTGTGGACAGCTAATTCAGTTATCTTTGGGTGTCTGTGTGTTCACCCACACACCTGGGCAAGGAGAAGCAGCTGAAGCTCGGCTCACTTGGAAAGTGGTAGAAGTGCTGACTTTCAGTGGTACCAGGGTATGTATTTTGTTAGCTATGTATTTGTGGGTACGTTTTTCAAAAATTGTTTCTGATTTTATAAGTCCTCCATTTCATTGTAGAAAACATAGTGTATTGTTACTATCCTTAGATTAAAAGGGATTTGTTGAGAACTTTTCTGCCACAGGTATTTCAGTAAGAGAGTTGAACTTAGAGCAAATGGCATCTCAGATTCAGTACCATATCATTTTCATATTAATTATGGTATTTAAAGAATGAGAAGTGGACTTACTAATTCTTTGGAAATGGTGGTGTCTGATATCTCCAAGATGAAACATGACTGTCTGAATTCTTTTAGACATAAAGTAGATTATACTAATTCTATGTCTTTGGATGCATCTCAAGGGAGAAAGATATAAAACTAAAGATTAGTAGATTTGATCAGTGTAACGTTAGATGATAAAATACCTAATGCAATAAAAAATGTCTATATATGCTTTTACGTCTATCCTAGTCATAAAATAAGATTAAATTAGTTACATGTGAAAAGATTTTCACTATTATAATCTCATGTAATTTCTCAAATTCGTTAACAAGAGTTATGACCTTTGTTTTTCCACAGCTGTATACATAGTTGTATGTAGATAATAGCAACCACCACCCCACGTTGGTCAGACTGCAAGGCAGACCCAGAGATGAGCCTACCAGAAGATGCCATTTTGAATCACTTGGGTTTTTAAATCTCAGCTGCTGTTTAAACAATCAGATATATGTCTGTTTAATTAGAAACTGAAACATTTGTAGGGGTTACATGATGTTAAGACTCACTAACCTGATCATGTGTTCTTTTGTCTTGCAGACATCCCCCACTTGAGACCAAAGCCCGTGTATGTTGCTACAACTCGAGACAGTGAGAACACTTACAGCACAAAAACCCCATACATGGCAGCTCGCGTTGTTTTTATTAAGTGGATCGTGACTTTCTTTTTGGAAAAAAAGTATCTAACTGCAACACAAAACGCTAAGAATGGAGTTGATGTATTGCCCAAAATCATTCAGGTATGTCATTCATCACTTTTTTATCTTTCAATTCTGGTGTCATAACCTATACGAACACCACAGTAATTGACTATCGGGGTTATTGGCTCTCACAGGTTGTTGGTCATAGGGACTCGATTTACTGGCTCCTCTGTCTGTACTGCTGAGGTTTCAGAGGAAGCCGTGAGTTGGAAGCACTTGCCGTGCTCTGTTGGTGTTGCCGTGACAAGGCGACCCTGGGGCCAAGGGAGGCCTTCTGAGCAGGTGGCTGACCTGTGCGCTCCTGGCTCCCTCTCACCTCCCGTGCTTCACTCGGGCCCCAGTGACCTTGAGCATGACGCCGAGGGCCTCTCTTGCCTTGTTCCTCCCAGCCCCAACGGGGTCCTCAGGAATTGTGAGGTGGTCCATGGAGAGGACCCCTGAGACTGCCAGGTGCCCTCTGGGATCTCAGGGAGGGAAGGGGTGGGTCAGCAGCTCAGGATTTCGGGTGGTTGTTGAGCCACTATGGGGTCGCCAGAAGAGATGGCTGTGTCTCCCTGAGGCCTGGGTGAAGCCCTCTTCTCACCTGGAGGCTGCAGGGCTTCCCTCTCTCAGTGGCATTGGTCAGACATGTGGGGCTTTCCCGGCAGGCTGTGTGGCTTCGGACCTTTGTGCAGGCAGAGCAGGACCACTTGTGGAAGTCAGAGAGGCCGCTGTGTGGAGGAGTCATGGTTTCGTGTGCTTTGTTTCACTGGCGCCAAGAACAGGGGCAGGAAGTGTGGTCCACTTAGTGCCGGTTGGCTGATGCTCTGCAGTTCCCGGATGTGTGATGTCGGCCTGGGCTGGAGGGTGCACTCCCCGAGGGGCACTCGGTACCCTGATGGCAGAGCACTGAGCCGGTCCAGAGCACAGGCTCCGTAATAAGAACAACAAAAGACTTGCTAAAAGAAAGTTTTAAAAACCTTTCAATTTCTGAATTTAAAAATTTAGTAGGTAAACTCAAAATGGTAATGATCACTGCTGAGAACAAAATTGGTTTTCTGACGAAATATCCCACAACACTGATAAAAAAAATCAGAGATGGAAATAGAAACTAATAGATAAAAACTTAGGTGCAGACCTACCTTGCAGATATTGTGAGGACAGAAGGAGAAAAGAATGAGAAGTAATAATTGAACGAACAGTAAGAAAAGTTTACCTAAGCTAAAAAAAAAAGTCATGCCTTAAACTGAAAGGGCTTTTGAGTCCCAGGAAGAATTAGCAAAACAGACACCAACCTAAACAGACATTTGACTTTCAGGGATTAAGGAAAAATGCCACAGACTTCACAACAGGAACTGCAGTTATTTCAAAGGAATGACACTGAGATTAGCACCAAATATCTAATGAAATCTGCAGAGCTGGAAGCCAGAGGAAACAGTCTGTCCGTCCCTCGGTCTGTCCCTTTCTCAGAGTCTCACTTCATATCACGTACATAAGCACTTGGTCACATTGGTTTAAGGCCTAAGTTGACTTAAGGTCTAAATATAAAAACAAAGTGATAAAGAACTTAGGAAAAAATCTAGGAGAATGTATAAATTTGGGAAGTGGGAGAGCACCTTTGGTAGAGATGAAACCCACAAACCAAAGACTAATCGAGGTTTGACTTTATTTTAAAAAATAGGGCTTCCCTGGTGGCGCAGTGGTTGAGAGTCTGCCCGCCGACGCAGGGGACACGGGTTCGTGCCCCGGTCCGGGAAGATCCCACATGCCGCGGAGCGGCTGGGCCCATGAGCCATGGCCGCTGAGCCTGTGCATCCAGAGCCTGTGCTGCACAACGGGAGAGGCCACAACAGTGAGAGGCCCGCATACCGCAAAAAATAAAAAAATAAAAAATAAAAATAAATAAATAGAAAAAGATTTAGAAATCTTTTTGATTTTGAATTAGAATGTCAAAAGATAACATAAAGCCAGGCCCAAGCAATAGACTGTGAAAACATTGGTCACATGATGACTGTTCATAGTCTCTGCTGTATATAGAGCACCTATGAATAGACATGAAGACAAATAAGTTAACTGAAAATGGACAAAGGAGGTGAAAGGCAATTCATAGAAGAGGAAATAAAAATGGCCCTGGATCTCTCCAGCAGTCAGGAAGACACAGTTAGTTCTGAGCCACGATGAGAGGCTTTATTCACCCTTTATTCACCCATCAGGTAGACAAAAACTAAAAATCCTCAGGTAGACAAAAATCTGTAGGAAATATAAGAAACTCAGTCACACTGATAAATTTTTCATGGCGTCTTAATGTGGTTATGCAGGCAATTCAAAACGCTATCGTAGAAAGGATGTAATTTTTCCTGCCTAGTTTCAAAATTTCAGAAAATCGTCACCTGTATTTATTGAAAATAGGTTGCTCATTCTTGAAAAATACATTTGGAGGATGAGAAGTAGCAAGACTAGCAAATTAACCACTGCCTCCAGGTTCTGATTTTTTTCCTGTTGACTCTTCACACTTGTGACTCATTTCCTTTTATTATATAGCTAAAAGTGTCATAAGGTTCTGACCTCCTGAATCGGTTAGGAGAGTTTTATCACCCGAACAGGAAAAAGGCTCCAGAACTCAAACTGTCATATCCATAAAAGAAATGTTTCAATCTCATAAAAGAGCAGCTCGAGGTGAGGCTGGCCGAGGCTGTGGCTGGTGCCTGCTCTCTCCCTTGCTCTCTGCTTTGCCCTTTCCCTCTGCTCTGCCCTTTCCCTCTGCTCCTCCCTGAAGGTTGCAGCAGCAGCTGGGGCCCTGCTTTCCTAGTTCACGTTTAAAGACAGTCCAGAAGTGCAGAGCCCTTCCCTTTTGTCTTTGGGGAACAATTTAGGTTACCTGTGCACTCTGAGGACAAAAATATGTTGCTGATTGGCTCAGATCTGGGGGTGTGAACAGCCCAGGGGGGGCGGTGACCAGCTTCCAGGAAGCAGAAGGCTCCCCTGGTGCCGGGGGTCAGCTTCCTGTGAGGCAGGTGCGCTGCATGCGAGGGGTGAGGTGCAGAGCACTGGGGTTCCGTGAGGGGGGAAGGGATGCTGGGCAGACACCATCCAGGCCCACGGCTACTGTGCCCTGAAGGTGGCCATGCCCAGACATGGCCACTGCCGTGGTCCAGGCTGTTAACACACCTTGCAGTCAGTTTTTATGTTAGTTTCCTGCTGCTGCTGTAGCTAATCACCACAAATGTATTATCTTACAGCTCTGGAAGCCAGAAAGCCAAAACCAGCCTCAGTGGGCTAAAATCAAGGTGTGGGCAGCTCTGTATTCCCTCTGGAGGTTCTGGGGCGGGGATGGGGTCCATGCTCTTGCCTTCCCTGGCCTCCAGAGGCTGCTGCATTCCCCAGCTCACTGCCCCTCATCACATCATTTCTCCCTCTGTTTCCATCTTCACATCACCTTCTCTGTGTCTGCTTCTCCTGCCTCCTTGTTGATCCTTGTGGTTACATTGGGACCACCCAAGTAATTCAGGGTCCTCTCCCTATCTCAACATCCTTAATTTAGTCACATCTGCTTAGGCCCTTCTGCCCTGTAAGGCAGCGCAGTCAAAGGTTCCGGGATTCCGGGCGTGTAGACATCTTGGTCATTATTCAGCCGACCGGTCTCCTTGTGTTTCCGTTTCCGCCTTACAATTCTGTTTTCCCTCTCATCTCACGTGTGTCTACTGTATGTTCTGCTCCTCATTTACATCATACAGGAGAAAAAGCAGTTTAGACAACTGAATATTAAATTTTGGAAATGGAGTTGCAGGAATAAAAGCACATGTAATTGTATTTATCTCCTGAAAGTTTTTGTTTGGAGTTTCAAGTTTAATATAATTTTACCCGTGTAAAGTGAACATCACTGTCTAAGTCAGGTGATCCAGAATCTCTTTTCAAAGAATGTACTGCTCTTATAAAAGCCCTTTAAAACAGTATTTTGGGCTTCCCTGGTGGCGCAGTGCTTGAGAGTCCGCCTGCCGATGCAGGAGGCGCGGGTTCGTGCCCCGTTTCGGGAGGATCCCGCATGCCGCGGAGCGGCTGGGCCCGTGAGCCGTGGCCGCTGCGCCTGCGCGTCCGGAGCCTGTGCTCCGCAAATGGGAGAGGCCACGACAGTGAGAGGCCCCCATAACGCAAGAAAAAAAAAAAAAAAAAAAAAAAAGAAAAAAAAAAACAACAGTATTTTAAATGCTGCTTCCAAATAGAGTTCACACTTTTGCCACTATTACTGTGTTAAAGGTCATGTATGGGGGTTTTTGTGTGTGCGTTTTTCCAAAGTGAATTTACTTCCTTTTGATCTAGAACTAATAACTCTGACAGTATTCTTCACCAGGGAGGAAAGGAATTAGCTCACTTAGCCCTCGGAGAATGTGGTTTGACAGATATTCTTGTATGGTGGCATCATTCATGGGAGAGCGAGAATACGGTTGCCTGGAAATCTGGTACCATGTTGGCAACCATGACCACAAATCCCCCTTTCAAACCTGAACATTCTTGGTGCTTCATCTCAGCCGAAGACGTTTTCAGTGAACTATTATTTATTCCTTGGTAATTCATTTTTGTATGATATAGAAGTTCTTCAGCATGGATTAGAGAAAGTGGAGTAGTGATTTTAAAATTTCAGTAGCACATTAATTAAGCATTAAAACCCAAAGAAGTCCACGAGGGAATGAAAAAGAGTGTGCGATACTAAGACAGTTGATCGCACTTATTTGTATGATAACTCTTTAGTTACAGTGTTAAAGTACCACTTTTACTAATTCTGAGCCAGCCCTTCAATAATGATTCATGGGCTATGGGTTTCCCAAAATTGTTGTATCTTATGGGGTGAACAGTTAGAAAAGATGAATCACACAACTTGACACCCCTGGGGAAGCTCGTGTATCACACAGACCCACCTGTCTGTTGACTGCCACTCTAGTGCTCTGTGTTCTTACTTCTATCAAGGCAAGCGTAGGCTGCCTCCAACCCCGTGGGCAAATCATGACGGGGAATTGAGTGGTTATCAGGCATCACCAGCAGAACGGCAGCTGCATCCTCGTTTCACACCTGCTTTGTGGGTGTCCTCATCTGGCCTGATCCTGAGGGTGAGCAAGTCTCAGTATGAGCCATGGGTTGAGAGGAAACCAGGGTGGGGAGGGGAGGGATTAAGTGGCAGCCTGTATCACGCAATTTCCTGAGCCCTAGCAGCACAGACCTAGTCCAAGCAGATATGTCTGTTTCACTCGTTAAGCCTTCATCATATGGCAAAGAGGTAAAAAGCATCTTTATATTTACCACCAGAATCAACTAATACTAAATTATAGTTGAGAATTCCAGCTTGATTGTAGTGGGCAGAAAATGGACCTCTCTCTGTAGTTAATTCGTATTCGTGCTTTTATTGTTAATCTTCAGAAAAGAGGCAAGAAATGATTAAACTTGAATTACCAGTTTGTTTCCACTCTCATCACTTACTATAATTATAAATGTCTGTTAAATCATACAGATGTTTTTGGAAAGCAGCCTTTTGCTGGTGTGAACTAGAGGAGGCTGAGAAAAGCACTGTCTTACCAAGAGGAGTAGTTTTCAATTTATGGCATGATGGGAAGTTCATCTGTGTTATCGTTATGTTCTATTTGGATCGCAGAGCTCACCTTTTAAAAACAATTTGGTGCCTTTACACGTAATTCTTTACGTACGTGATCTTAGTTATCTAATTGCTGTGTTATCTAATTCGTTATCTAATGACCTCAAAATGGAGTGGCTTAAAACAACAACCCTTTAATCATATTACTTATTTCCCTTTTTGGGTCAGGAATTTGGGTGGGATTTGGTTGGACAAATTGTGTGCTTCATGTGGCATTAGCTGAGGTCAGTGGGCGGTGGTCAATGGCTGGTCGGTCCGGAAGGTCCAGGATGACTTCATTCCCATGCCTGTTACTCTGGTGGGTGCAGCTGGAAGGCTGGGCTCTACTGGGCCTCCCTTTCCACGTAGCCCCTCTAGAGAGGCAGTTGGGCTTCTTCCCTGGCCGCTTAGGGCTCCGAGAGCAAAAGTTCACAGAGATGCCAAGCGGGAGTGGTCAGCCTCCTGGGTCCGGGGCCCAAGAAGGCACAGGTCCCCTCCACTCTTCCGTCCTGCTGGTTAACTCTGTCCCCCAGCCAGTGGGGATCCAAAGGAGGGGACACAGATTTCCCCCTTCTGCAGAGGGAGTGCCAAAGAATTTGTGGCCATTTAAAATTTTCTATGTAAGTATGTGTGTACTTTTTTTTTTTTCTTGGCCTGTTGGGAAAATGAAAGTTATTGATCAAAAAGCCACAGTTTATTAAGCCATAGAGGACATTAGATTTAATCCAACCTCCATGCGTTACAGATTAAAAATGTATGCATATCAGTAAAAATGAGTAAAATTTTATTTTTCTCTGCAAGGTAGGTGACCCATCAAAAAGGTGAAATAATTTCTATAGGGTAGCTCACTGCACAGTGTGGCAGTACCTTTGATAAGCCACACAGGCTTAATATCCCAGGCATGAAGAGAAAAATTACTATCAATATAATTTTCTATTAATTTTCTCTAGAGATTATTATTTGGATATCTACTTTGCTTTCAAACTATCCTTGGTAGTTACTGAAGTTATTTTGTACGACTCATTTCTTGTCACTTCTTGTAAAAAATATTCACAGTAGGTAGAATTTTAGTGGCATTTGGGTTATATATTTTTGACACAAAGGAATAATACTGTAATTTACAAAGATTGAAGCAAAATTACATGTGTGTTGTGTTTGGAGGAAATTAATTCTGGGGGAAATGAGAGCAAAAAACAAATTAAACTTTGTGAATGATTACATAGATTATTTTATTTCTTTGTGCTCCTAAAGCCTCTAAATATTTAAAGTTTTATAAATATTTTAGTTAAGTTTGATCCGAGATTCTGAATATAAATCTCAGATCAAGGTCCTTCTCATAAAATACCCTTTAAAGATATTGACACTCCTCCAATCAAGGTGTCACTTACTCATGTGAATCAGATGAAGCTTCCCAGCACTGTGGCTGCAAAAAATCCACCAAATTTTCAAATCTCTGTGACTGTAGATTAAGTGCTGAAGGGTGGAGACCAGAGGTAATGATAATATAAATTCATTTACACATTAATTTATTCTGTGATTTTACAGATATAAACCAAACGTTTTAGGCTGATAACATTTCGCAGCCTCCCTCCCTGCAATACTTTTTCCATTAAAATAACTTAGTTGGGGAGGAGTTAGTTGGTGAATTAGAAAGTGGGTAAGTGCAGGTCCTGGAGTCCCTTGTGCTCCGAGCAGGGCTGCGTTTCAGCTGCTCTTCAAGTGCATGGTAACCAGAGTCCCTGAAAACAAGGCAAGCCTTCAGTCTTGCCAGGTGTTCTGGAGTCTGGGAGGATCAGTCAGGAGCGGGTGCCTTTCTTGCAGACTGTCGGGGGTGGAGGTGCGGTGCCGGAGCGGGCACCGGAGCTGGATGGCGGCGGGGCGACAGAGGAGGACAGAAGCCACTCGGACAGCGGCACCCTGTCCGAGCGCCGGCTCAGCAGCTGCAGCGTCTGTGGTGTTGAAGAGGAGCACCGTGCCGTGTACGAGATGGTCCAGCGCATCCTCCTGTCCACGCGTGGCTACGTCAACTTCGTGAACGAAGTGTTCCGCCAGGTGAGTGTGTGTGTGTGTGTGTGTGTGTGTGTGTGTGTGTGGTCACGAAGCTGAAGAGGTTTTTGTTCTTGTTCTTTCACTCATACTACTCCAAGAAATATAATCGACAAGTTGGGCTCCATCACACAACTCCATAATGATTTCTCTAATCCCACATTTAATGTGTCATGTGGAGGGGTGTGATTGGGGCTTTTTGGTAATTTTTAATTTTGTTTTTATGACTTTGGTTTTTGTAAAATTCCTACACAGGGTGGGAAGATTTTATATTTGAACAAAATCATCCTGCAGATACCTCGTGTTTCCATAACAAACTTTAAACCCCGAGGGAGGTGGGGAGAAAGCTGCTCCTGAACCCCTGCGGCACTGAACCACTGTGGCACGTGAGCACAGCCGAGACGGCCCAAGGCTGGGTTGTTCCAGGGCTGTAGGAGCTCACGAGCTGCAGGTTCCTGCACAGTTGGACTTTGCCCACAGAGGCATATGGCAGGCACCTGTAGTAGAGGTATTTATGGCCTGAGAGGAAAAAGGAGGCTAGGGAGGGGATTCAGAGGAAGGAAAGGAGCCGAGGCCAAGACATTGAAATAATTGACCTTTGGTGGAAACTGGCGGGTGAGAAGGTGTCGGGATGAGCAGAAGTGCAGACAAGAAGACAAGTGCAACAAGGGAGGATGCTGGAGAGGTCAGAGCAGCCCCGAGCAGCCTGCCCACTGCTGCAGCTGATTCATTGTCTAGACATGTGTGTGACTGGACACATGTGTGACTGTCACAGTGGGGAGGGAGGTGCTGCTACTGGCATCTAGTGGGAGGGAGCCTGGATGATTTTAAGCATCTATGGTGCACAGGACAGCATCCCCCCAATGCCCCCGCCCGTGACACGTGTGCCCACAAGGCAGTAGTGCTGCTGGATAGAAACCCTCAGCTGCAGCTTTGGACATAGGAAGCAGGGCCTTGATGGGGTGAGACAGTGGCCTGGCACATGGGAGCAGCCGTTGGCCACCAGTGTCTTGGAACCTGTGCCCCGGGAAATGGAGAGCTTGTATGTGATGAGAGGATGGTCGTTCAGTCTGTGCCCCGAGCAGAGGGGGAGGCCCTCGGATGGCAGAAACCTGTTGGGAGGAGAAGTGGAGGAGCCTGTTCACACCTGAGCGATGCACGTGCACCGCCAAGAGCTTCCCGCGGAGGCGAGACCCGCGTGGGGAACGAGGAAACCTTCACCTCTGAGATATACAGGAAAGAAACATCCACCAAGAGTGACAGTCCCAGCACAATCCACAGCAGTCTAGAGGTTTTACTGTATTTTGTATTTTAATCAATAAAAAATTTCTACTTAAGAAAATGGTGAGAAAGTGGCCATGGACAACATGGAACAAGCAAGCATGGCTGTTTTCCCGTAAAACCTTACTTACAGAAATTAAGTGGCAGGCTGGATTTGCATTGTGGATCATAGTTTGCTGATCCTGATCTATAGTAATGTTTTAAACCCTTGGATACAAATACTTAAAATCAGGTATCATTAACAAAGCTTTTAAATTTTGCACAAGAGACAAGTGCTAATTTGATGTGGTTCTACCTATATTGCATATTTATTTATTTATTATACACATAGTTCCATTTGCATCCATTATTGTCATTCCACCCCTGGCAATAGTGTGTTCTAAGTTCTAGATTCAATCAAAATCCTAAATCCAGTGTAAATTCAGTTTTGAAGTAGAAACTGCATCATTGAGGTAACCGCAGACTACTTATGCCTGAAGTTATGAGCCATCTTTGTATCATGAAATTCAAAAACGTTTACATTTTATAATTATTCTTTTTTTTTTTTTTTTTTTTTTTTTTTTTTTTTTTTTTTTTTTTGCGGTACGCGGGCCTCTCACTGATGTGGCCTCACCTGTTATGGAGCACAGGCTCTGGACGCGCAGGCTCAGCGGCCATGGCTCATGGGCCCAGCCTCTCCGCGGGATCCTCCCGGACCGGGGCACGAACCCGCGTCCCCTGAGCCACCAGGGAAGCCCTATAATCATTCTTAATCAAATATAATTTGAAAGCTTATGTGAAATTTCAAATATGATTATTATGCATTGTTAAAATACTGAAATAGAGACATTTGGGAAAAGGGGCATGGGTTTGAACATTGCGTTTTATTGCCCTCTCTTGGTCAATGATGAAGTTTTCTTTTATGGAAGACAAAATGTGACTTCTTTTATAATAATTTCTTTTTTAATTTTAAATTCTTCAGAGACTAAGCCTAAAGGCTGTTAAAGTTTAAAAATGTGCATTCATTCAAGAAGTGCACGTTTTCAGTGTGGAGTTAAGATCTGTATGTACATAACAGAGAACAGCGCAAGAGGCAGGTCAGATGTCCACACGCATGATGTAGGAACAAAGGCCCACGAGGACCACTGGGGCCTGGGCGGCTCAGGGCGGGGCTGACCGAGCAGTCACCTCAGACTGGATGGTTCAATGAGTTGAAGGCAGTGGCCGTAGATGGTTCCTGAGGGAGATTAGGTTTGGCAAGGTTCAAGGCAGTCTCCAGCAGGCAGGCTGGGCGGGTGGAGTGTGTCAGGAGGGCGGTTCTGATCCTTGGGTCACTCCACCAGAAACTTGTCTCCTAACTGCTATTTTTCAGGCTACCTTGTGTGATCATTTGTTGGTCATGAAATCAATGTAGTGGGTCAAGAGCCAGTATTTTTTAAAAAATTAATGAAATAGAGTAAAATAGAACAGACCAAAAAAATTCACAGCACAGTGCATATTGTAAGAATTAGTATTTCTTTGTGAAACTTCTGACTTATTTTTGTCCATACTACATACACAAATGCATATATCCTTATGGAAAATGTCTTACTTAGGTTATGATCTGAAATGAAAGTACTGCTCTAAAGGATGTTTGTTCACTAGGTTGTTTTGTTGGTAGTTTGGTTTTATTTTAAAGAGCAACTTTATTTTTATTAAAAAAAAGATGAATTCATTAGATAAAGATAGTATCTTTCTATAGATATAAGTATAGTGTAGAAAGCCAAAAACAAATCACTGAAACACTGCCATCCAAGTAACTGTTATCAGTGTTAGAAGAGCATCATTCTAGGTATTCCTCTGTGTGTATAGATGGCTGCTGGCCTGGCAGCATGAGAGACCAGCAGAGAGGACAGGGTGAGACAGGATATGAACAGACAGGAAGCAGCCTGGTGGACGGTTAGACAGTAGGGCTTACAGATGAGCTGATAGACATAAACGAACTGGCAGGCAGGTGTAGAACAGACAGGAAGGTGCAGACTGGCCAGCTAGCAGAGGTGGAGATAAGCGGGAAGGTGTAGCCAGACAGGTGGGTAGGTGCAGGTAGACGGGCAGACAGAGGTAGAATTTGGCTGGCAGGGATGGGTAGACAGGCAGGCAGGCAGCCATGGACAGAAACAGGCGAATTAGACAGAGGTTGACCAAGGTGAAGGCTGGGGCCACGACAGATGTGTGGAAGTGGCAGGGGTGGGGGGGGGGGCCTCCGAATAGCTTTATGAAAATAGAAACCTTTATTTTTTTTTTTTTTTTTTTGTGGTACGCGGGCCTCTCACTGTTGTGGCCTCTCCCGTTGCGGAGCACAGGCTCTGGACGTGCAGGCTCAGCGGCCATGGCTCACGGGCCCAGCCAGTCCACGGCATGTGGGATCTTCCCGGACCGGGACACGAACCCGCATCCCCTGCATCGGCAGGCGGACTCTCAACCACTGCGCCACCAGGGAGGCCCTGGAACCTTTAATTCTGAATGAATCTTTAATGCAGTTTTAATGAGTAGTCCTGAATTTTATTTTTACCTGAATTTAACAGAAGAAAAGACAGCAAACCTGAAGGAATTATTGAAATTCCAGTAAATATTCCTTTACCACAAGAAATATTAATTGCTAGAAGACATGTCTATAATAAAAAGATTATAATAGCATTAAAATATTGGAATCACTTTTTACCTGCATGTTTTAATGTTAGATGGTACTTGATTTCTTCTTATGAAACATGAAGAGTGTAGCAGCCTTGTATTTTTTTGAGCCTCCTCTCCCCATCTGCTGATTTCATTATATTATAAATTTATAATATGATGAATATATAAATATTCATCATATTATAAATCTATATTTGCGGTTGGTTTTGGAATCCTGATGGGCAGAGGTATTTAATCTTGGTTCTGTATTTTGACAGATTTGTTCCTCCTGGTGTCCACAGCCCTAAAATACTTGCTTTGATTGACTTCTTGGTTGGTCTCGTTTTGTCACTGAGTGGTGTTTTCAAGGAGGTGTACTGGCAGCTCTATTCCCTGAGTTCTACTTATTTATTTATTGAACTATAGTTGATTTACAATATTGTGTTAGTTTCAGGTATACAGCAAAGTGACTCAGTTTTATATATATATATACATATATATATATACATATAAAACATATATTACATAGAATATAACATATAGAATATAACACATAGAATATGGAATATAGAATATATATGACATACATAATACAGAATATAGAATACAGAAGATATATATATATATATATATATATATATATATATTCTTTTTCTGATTCTTTTCCATTATAGGTTATTATCAATACAAGATACTGAATGTAGTTCCCTGTGCTATACAGTAAATCCTTGTTGTTTATCTACCTTGAGTCCTTTTGTGATGCGTAATGTTTTCTTTTTGCTTTTGCACATGAACAGTAGTTTAGCTGGGTATAATAATTTCAGGTCACTTTCTTCCTCTTAGGAATTTATACATCAAAACTTTTCTAGACAAACCAATCAGAAGAGGCAAGAAAACCTCACAAGGATTTCAGTTATACAATTGAGACTTTAGAATGAATATGTTTAAAGAAGTAAAAGACAAGCTTGAAAATGTTTGCAGAAAACAAGAAACCATAGCAGATGACTAAGCAGATATGAATAGGAAGAAAATAGAACTTCTAATGATGAAAAAAATGTAATAATTGAAATATTAAAGGAAAACTTCAATGGGTAGGTTTAATAGCAGATTAGATACAGCTGAAGAGGGAATGCATTTGATAACAGGTCTGAAGAAATTCTCCTGAATGCACCTTGGAGAGACAAAGAGAGGAAGGGTATGAGAGGTTGAGACGTGGAGGAGAGCGAGAAGGTCTGATGTATGTGTTCATCTCTCTTCTATCCTTGTTATTTTTATTTTTTATTTTTTTGCGGTACGCGGGCCTCTCACTGTTGTGGCCTCTCCCATTGCGGAGCACAGGCTCCAGACGCGCAGGCTCAGCGGCCATGGCTCACGGGCCCAGCCGCTCTGCAACATGTGGGATCTTCCCGGACCAGGGCACGAACCCATGTCCCCTGCATGGGCAGGCGGACTCTCAACCACTGCGCCACCAGGGAAGCCCTATCCTTGTTATTTTTGTCGGCTCTTTCCTCAGCTGAGAAATATCCTACTCTGACTTTGGGTTTGTCTGTGTTCACAGTTTATCAGTATTTGATATATATGAATATGAATTTTACTAAGTAAAATTCTTAGTTGCAATACAGATTTAGAATTATTATATGTTCCTTTGAATTGAATCTTTTATCATTAAGAACTTTCTTTTTCTCTAGTAATGCCTTTTTTTTTTTTTTTTTTGCCTCAAAGTTGTTCTTGCCTGTTTGGAATATAGCTCTCCAGTTTTCTTTTGGTTAGTATTTTCATGGTGATCTTTTTCTAACTTTTTGCTTTCAACGTCCCCTTTTCATATGTTTTGGATGTCCTCTTATAAGTGACATGTGGTCTTTTTAATAGTTTTTAAAATCCAACCTTATAATCTCCATCTTTTGATTGGAGCATTATTGCGTTTACATTTAATGTAACAACTGCTATAATTGTGTTTACATCTACTATCTTACTTTCTACTTTCTGTCTTAATTTTTTCAGGCTGATTACATTTAGCATCCTATTTTTCTCCTCTTGATAAGTATTTTTATACTCATTTGTAATACTTTAAGCATTAACAATCATCCCTAACTTAAAATCTAGCTAATTTCAACTTTTACCTCTCGGTATGCATTTTAGTTCCATTTACTCCTTCTCAGTTTATATACCACTGTTATGTATGTGTATGCCATTTAATGCTGTATTATGAATATATAATATGTATTTATATACACAAATATATATATCATCTCTTTCAGAACTACTATAATTATTTTATCCAGTTTTATTCTTTTTATTCATATATATTCATATATATATTATTCATTTAGATTTATCCAAATAATGACCATTTTTATTGCACTTTATTTCTTCCCAAATCTCTGACCTGGAATTATTTTCCTTCTGCTTAAAGAATAACTTTTAGTATATCCCTTTGATTAGGTCTCTTGGTAAAAGTTTTCTCATTTTCTTATCTGAAAATGACTTTGTTTTGCTTTTATTTTTGAAATATTTCTTTATGGATGTCAGATTCTATTTTGGCAGCTGTTTTCTTTCTGCACATTGAATATTTTGTTCCATTGGTTTTTGGCTTTCATTGTTTCTTTGAGAAGTTATGCTAAGTCATGTGGTTATTCCTTTGGAAGAAATGTGTCTTTTTTCCCCCTGGCTCCTTGTAAGATTTTCAGATTGTCTTTGGTTTTCAGCAGTCTTAGTGTAACATACTTTGAATGTATCCTGCTTGTGTTTCTTTGTGATTCTTGAATCTGTGGCTTGATGTGTTTTATCATTTTGGGTAAAATTCTCAGCCATTCTATCTTCAGATATTGTTTCTGCTGCTTTTGACTCATTCTTTCCTTCTGCGTCTCCAGCCATGGGAAGGATAGTCTTTGCCTTGCGTTCTCTCTCACCTCTCTTCTGATGGAGCCATCCTCTGTCTCTCTGTGCTTCATTCTGTATATTTTCATCGGATTCTTTTTTCCAGTTTACTCTTCAGCTGCATCCATCCTATTGTCAGCCATTTACATTGGGCTTTTCATTTGGCTTATTTTATTTTTCAATTTCATATACATCTTTTTCTGATACTTTACCTAGATCTCTTATATGTTTAAATTATTATCTATTTTTAATGTGATTTTATTAATGTTGATTTCTTTTCTCACATTTCTGATTTTTTTATTAATGTGCTGTATATCATATTAATCAGACTGTGCAAATAATTTTGGTTTTACTATGCTTTTATTTTCCTCCAGAGGGGACTTATATTTGCTTCTGGGAGGAAGGTAATATTGAATTTGGGTTACATAGTTGTCTACATTTGGATTCTGATCACCTTAAACAAAAATTCTTTGTGCAGATGTGTAAGAGGATTTTTAAATGTTAAAAAGTTCACATAAGTATGCATAATGCTACAACTGGCCAGTTGGACAACTGACTCTCAAAAAAGGAAGGGAGGAAAGGAAGGAGGAAAGAAAGAAGGAAGGGAAAGGAAGAAAGAGAAAGGAAAGGAAAGGGGAAGGCAAAAAAAGACAAAAGAAAGAAAACAAAAGCCCTGGTTGGTAACATTTGCCAACTTCTGTATTTCCACTACTCCCACTATGGCCAATTCAAGTTACCAACACAGCGTCACTGAATGTGAACTTGGGAAGAGACATGACAACTGGCTGTACTGTAATCTCTACCGTCTCATCATCTATTTCTCATTTGTGGGGAAAGGTTCTCAGTTGTACAATTATTATTGTTCATACAGCGAATTAATATATCTCTATAGGTATGCGTTTTGGTTATTTTGTGGAAAAAAAATTGCATTTTGTTTTCTGGCCCAATTACACAATTGGCCCAATTGAAGCAACTGCCGTAAACACAATTGTCTTTTTTCCTCAGATAAGTTTGGTGTGCACAGGAACATGTGGCCCTGTGTAGTCTGTGTTTCAAAGGAAAGTCTGAGATTGGTGCTGGGTGTTGAAAATATCTGTTGGGCTCATTGGTGACCAGAGCTTGTGTTAAAGGGAGTTTCTCTTATCATTTTAGGCATTTTTGCTGCCTTCCTGTGACATAGCTGTAAGCAGAAAAGTAGTTCAAGTGTACAGAAAGTGGATCCTCCAGGACAAACCTGTGTTCATGGAGGAACCAGACATAAAAGAAGTTGCCCAAGAAGATGCTGAAAAATTCGGACTTTCAGAGACTGATAACAAGCAGGTAATATTTTATCACTTATTGTTTGAGTTGGGAGCATCTATATTAAAATATAAAGCAAAGTATTCTGCTCAGTCAAGGGTTGCAGTCAGGCCACCTCTTTGTTGTCAGCTCTGTTGCTCTAGGGTTGCTGAGTTCCATGAGCGCCTGCCTCAGGGAGGCTGCTTCTGTTCTCTGTTCAAGGTCCTCTGCCACATCCTAAGCTCAGGCTTGGCCACATGTGCGTGGCAGCTTCTTTATTCACTACTGCATGAGAGTATTTGAATAAGCCAATATACTTTGCATGTCTCTGTATGAGACTAAAAATGTCACTGCCATATCATTGATATGCTTAAATAAGTAATATTCACTTAACTAAATTTAGAATGTTTTGGCAGACTTTCCTTGTACAGTGGCCATACCAGCAACAGTCCAATGTGACACACATACCAGCAACAGTCCAATGTGACACACAATATTAATAAGTGAAGTGAGCCTTGCTTCAGGGCTGGGTGCTGTTCTCAGAGAGGGGTGCTATCAGGATGGACCTTTCATTCCATGTTAGATAAAGCCACAGGTGCGAGTGGGCCTCTACTTGACACACACAAAAAACTTAGGTCCTATTTATATTTCTGGCATGCTATTTTGACATCTATTCTGAGAATTATTTCTAAAAGTGGGTGTTTGTCATGGCAATTAACACCAAGAATTAAAAAATACTTGCAGCCAAAGGTATATCACCTGTAAATATCTACATTAATTCCCTAATTTGATTTTTCAATATTGAAGTCATCTTAATAACTAGTCATGAGATCAAAACAAATGAACTGTCATGTTCACTGGGTCACTGGACAAACGTTATCTATTCCTTCAGCACATACTAAGTGCTAAGCACCATTTTAGGTGATGGAGGTAGAATGGTGAACACAATAGAAGAGACTTGCCTTCTAGAACCTGTAATCTCATGAATTCTGGGGAGCGTAAGGAACTAAATACACAACACGTGCTTCTCCCCACTCTGTTGACTGATTGTTATTTTCTAAAGACCTCATCTGAAAGTTCTGGTCACAAGCGATCTTCCAGTTGGGGGCGAACTTATTCTTTCACGAGTGCTGTGAGCAGAGGGTGTGTGACCGAAGAGGAGAATAAGAACGTGAAGGCTGGGGCCCAGGCTATGCTGCAGGTATGCGCCAGCCACAGACGGGAAGGCTCCCGGATGGAGTCAGCTTGAACATTTTGTTTATTGGGGGTGACATCGTATAAAGTATGGTGATATTTTTAGCTATCCATCAGTAAACAGCCCTTAAATTCTCATGCTAAGTTTTCTTTCTGCTTGCCCACCTTCAATTTATAAAGATTTTTTTTGTTGTTGTTAGTCAGAGAAGACATCTGAACTGGTTGCAGTTTTTTGAGAGGGATTGTTATACAGTGAATATATGACTGAGATTTCAACCTTAAAAGTATCTTCTTTTTATTTATTTATTTGGAGTATAATCGCTTTACAATTTAAAGCAATTTTATTTTATTTATTGGAGTATATTGGAGTATAATTGGAGTATAATTGCTTTATTGGAGTATAATTGCTTTACAATGGTGTGTTAGTTTCTGCTTTATAACAAGGTGAATCAGCTGTACGTATACATATGTGCCCATATCTCCTCTGTCTTGCGTCTCCTTCCCACCCTCCCTATCTCACCCCTCTAGGTGGTCACAAAGCACCAAGCTGATCTCCCTGTGCTATGCGGCTGCTTCCCACTAGCTATCTATTTTACATTTGGTAGTGTATATATGTCCATGCCACTCTCTCACTTCGTCCCAGATTACCCTTCCCACTCCCTGTGTCCTCAAGTCCGTTCTCTACGTCTGCGTCTTTATTCCTGTCCTGCCCCTAGGTTCTTCAGAACCATTTTTTTTTTTTTTTTTTTTAGATTCCATGTATATGTGTTAGCATACGGTATTTGTTTTTCTCTTTCTGACTGACTTCACTCTGTATGACAGACTCTAGGTCCATCCACCTCACTACAAATAACTCAATTTCTATTCTTTTTACGGCTGAGTAATATGCCATGGTATATATGTGCCACATTCTGAACACATATGGGTAGTGAGTTACCTGGATTCTAATTTATAAGACAAACTTGGTGATTATATAATCTTATAAGTAATATTCCTCTTAAAAATTGCCTGTGTTTATGAAGAATGATGATTAATGAAGTAATTTTTAGATATTTATCTGAATGAATATATGAAATACCATTTGGGAACATTGGAAAAAGCAGCTTTGGTTTATCACTCAGTCTCCCCAGATCTCAGGATTTTATCTCAAAAATGGAGATTTATCTCAAAAAAAAAAGATTACCTCTTGGGTTGCACCCAGTGTGAAGGTTGTTAGAAGTATAAGTGAAAACACAGGGTCCCTCTCTTTCCCCTGATCCCTGGCACCCCACCCTCCTCCCCATATCCATATCCACGTTCATCTGTGTCCAGTTAGGCATCCCACACAGAGGCTGGGCGTAGGGTCTGGGGCAGGAAGGCATGGTACCCAGTTTTCAGTGATACCAGGTTTCTGTCATCTGTCTCTTGAGAGGATTCCTTATCGTGGGATCCTTTTTGTTTTCTAGTTAATTGGCAGTTTAATATACTTTAATTAATGAATTTTCTCATTTTTCATTGAAAATCAGCAAATAATTTGAAAATCAGCAAATAATATTAGCTTTAAAAAACTCAAGATGAGTTTACTTGAATAGCTTCAGAGAACTTTGGCGCAGCTCCTAAATGTCACCTGTGCGCCCACCAGAGCAATGGTTGCAGGAGTCCCCGCCCCGCCCCCTCCCCACAGAGCATCCTATAGTTGGCCAGTGGGGGTTGCAGGTGCCTGTTATTTCCCTGAATTCAGGTGAGTTATTTATTCTCTAGAAGGAGAACTTACATCCCCTTGGCTGAGCCAAGAAAAAGAATTCCTACTTGATTATAGCTCTACAGTTGTAAAAAATACTTAGTTTGGATTTAGATAGCTGTTTTTGTTCTCATTTTATCAAGTACCTTGGTCCTTGATTTGGTTAATGAGGAAAACATGGCCAAATGGAGGTTTGATAAGAGTACTGTTTTATAGTTGCTTCTGACAGGTACAGTTTGGACATATTCATTTTGTTGATTTATTTTTATCCTAACTGATACTAACATGGTAATAAATAGTCATGGAGTCAACATTTTTGATGTTGTTTTGAAAGTAAAATGAAAGAAATATAATATATGAAGACTCCTCACTTTTACTTTGGAGTATACAAAGGTTTAAAATTAAATCAAGGAGCCAAGTACATTGAATTAAAAAGGATCTGTATTGTAGTATACCATCTATGGCATACTTCTTTAAAAGACATAGTCACTAAAGCTATAGTTCGCTAGTCAAAAGGTTCTTTATTTTCATTTTTCTTACTCGAAGCTTAGTAAATCTTCACAAGTGCTGTTATCATCTGTTATCAACTATTATAGTGCTGATTTTGTGATTCTTCCTAGAAAATTGGGACACGATACATTTTTAATCTTGCACAAAATTATCTCAGAGGCTGTCATCATTTTAGTTCGCCCACTTGACTTTTGAGTGTGCTCATTTCAGTTCCTCCGGTCAGTTTGTGCATCTATTTTGAGATGCTGTGTTAATGGATTTCGTCCACAAGTGAGACAGCTCTGTTTGTCCCCAGATCATTGGTGTCTGTGCTGTTGAATGGAGAGGAGCACTAAGAGGGACTGTAGGTCTAGAAGGTGGAGAAGCTCCACCCTTGGCACCGGGTTGACAGCGGAGAATGTCCTGACTCTGTGTAAATGATGACACGTTGTTATGCCGCAGCAGTGCCCCCGGGCAGTGCCTCCCTACAGGGTAGCCTGGATCCGTGCTCCCCACAATTCTCTAACGATGGTACAGGACAGGGGGCTTGTATCCTAAAGGCAGAGTGTAGAGCAGTTGGCGTACTTTCTAAATTTTGTTGGAAATCTCAGTTTTTATCCTAAGAATTTCCTTAGGTTTTGTATTCTGCTGCATATTGTATTTCTCATATTGAAAACCCATGCTCCTGGAAGGTGTGCAGTGTTGGCCACACGCCTTTGCCCCTTTGCTGGCGGCCCTTTGGGTGGTACTGTCTGCCTCCTGTCAGCAAGGCCTTCATGTCAGCAAAGCTGGAGACTCAACAAGAGCCAGGTCGTTCTTTCCAGCTGCTGTCTGACCCAGGGCCCCTACCCTCTCTGCCGGCCCCCCAAGGTTCCTCACCCACAGGCAATGATCCTGTCTTATCTTTTTAAAAAAAATTTTGCGGGGGTGTCAAAAAGAAATCTGCAGAAGCCTTTTTGATTCATAAATTTCTAAATCTGCAATATTAATGTGTAATAGCAATAATTTTTCTAGAAAAGGTCTTTCAAGGATCAGTATTTAAGTAATTCTAAGGGGTGAACTAGAATAAATTTGAGTATGTGTTGGTACCACTTGTCTTATTGAAATAGCTCAAAGGTGAAATTAATATCATTCCCTTTATACAAAATTTGTTCAGGTTTATCTGTTTAATTATATCTTCTCATGTAAAATTTGTTGGTTCTAAGGTATTTTTGACAAATGCTGCAAACGTCTTTTTGCTGGAACCGTGTGTGGAAGTTCCCATGCTCTTGAAGGAGCAAGTTGATGCATGTAAAGCTGTTCTGATTATTTTTAGGAGCATGATAATGGAGCTTACAATGAATAAAAAGACATGGTGAGTATCTTTTCAATTAATTAACATTGTAAAACAGATGTTTCTGTTTTCAACGAAATAATTAAAATGCTAAAGCCTCTGTTTATTAAATAGCTCTACAAAGTGAAGGATGAGATGATAATCAGTCTTTTGTAACAGAATTATGAAGTATCCAGCACTTTGATAGTTCATTTATTTTCATTATTGGTTTTTTTTGTTTTTTTTTTTTGCGGTATGTGGGCCTCTCACTGCTGTGGCCTCTCCCGCCGCGGAGCACAGGCTCCGGACGAGCAGGCCCAACGGCCACGGCCCACGGGCCCAGCCGCTCCACGGCACGTGGGATCCTCCCAGACCGGGGCACAAACCCGCATCCCCTGCATCAGCAGGCGGACTCCCAACGACTATTTTCATTATTGGTTTTTTTTGTTTTTTTTTTTGCGGTATGTGGGCCTCTCACTGCTGTGGCCTCTCCCGCCGCGGAGCACAGGCTCCGGACGAGCAGGCCCAACGGCCACGGCCCACGGGCCCAGCCGCTCCACGGCACGTGGGATCCTCCCAGACCGGGGCACAAACCCGCATCCCCTGCATCAGCAGGCGGACTCCCAACGACTATTTTCATTATTGGTTTTAAAAAAAGTTGTCAAATTAAGAGTAAGTAGTCATATTACTTAATAGTAGTTTTTCCCATTTTAAACTGTCATCAGTTTGTGGAAAAGTAGTAACTGACGTTTCATAATATCATTCTTCATAATCCCAGGAGGGTTGGTTAATTGCTCCAGAATACTTTTAACTGATTTGATTGTTTTAAATTTGAAGTTTTAAATTCATTTTAGAAAAACAGTTATTTTAAGTGATAAGTTGTCAGAGTGCAGTGAAAAATATAGTGGCGTCATTAAAATACACTTATGTGAAGTGTCTTCCTCCTGGTCGTTCAGTTTTGTTTGGTGTCTTTGTGTTTATAATGTCCCAGAGGTAAGCAGTGCATTAGAGTTTCCCGTGATGAGTGTCTGCACATCCGTCCAGCTCCTAAGGTTTGGGGAGTGGGGGGCAGCCTCTCCCTTCTGCTTCTCCAGTCCGGTCCTTGCAGGTTCCTCCCTCCCAGGCAGCACCCTCCCTACCTGCCTGGCAGGGGTCAGCACCCTCAGACCTGGGCTGGTGGCACCTGCCTCCCGGAAATGCTTGGGGTCCCCGTTCCCAGGCCTGTGCTCTGGAGGCTGGAGCCAGTGCCCAGGGAGCCGTGGGGATGAGGTGGGACTGAGCCCGCGGGGCCTCCAGGGCCTTGCGTCCAGCCCTTTTCCTTCTCAGATGAGGGAGAGCGGGCCCAGAGGGGGAGCGGGCCCAGAGGAAGCCGGCGGGCAGAAGGTGCACAAATACAGGAACCACAGTTGTCAAAATGATCATTTGAAGCCATACCTTCCGGTGTCATCTTTCCCAGACTTTTAAACTGAGCACTATTTGCCGAGAAGCTGTTGCTAAAGCGTCACAGGGATGAACAAGGCAATTTAAACAAAGTTAAAAGCTGTGTCAATAATGTTGAAAGCAATGAGAAATGCTGGAAGCTTTCAACTGAAATATCTGCTCCTCATACCCGTTGTATCAAGTGTTTTTGATGCTTTTTTTTTCCTTTGAAAACGCTATGAATTCTGTATACCAGTGTATCAGTAATATTTTGATATTTTTGATAATCTTTTTTGGGGTGAAAATTCTAGGAAATAAAATTAAACAATGCTTCTCTGTTTCTTTAATAATTCAGAGATTTCCAGGTAAAACTATAAAAAATCAAAATATAGGAATAGATGAAAATACTCACTGAAAAAAAAAGAATAAAGTCAGTAGAGCGTAGACCAGGGATGTGATCTATTTCCCTAGCAGATTTTCCTGTGTATTGAAGTACCAGACGATCAGTGAATTCCCTCCCTCCCTCCCTCCCTCCCTTCTTTCATCTGGTAAATAACTAGGGAGCTTCTACTGTGAGGATAGAGGGTAAACTAGACAGACAGGGTCCCTGCCCTCCCGAGGCATCCGTCCTCATAGGCCTGAGAGATGCGATGAACACAGAAGTGGGGTCGGGTGGGGTTCAGTGCTAAGAACCGTGGAGCTGGTTGTGGGGGGGGCAGTGTGGAGGGTGGGAAGGCCTCTCTGAGCGGAGCCCAGAGGGAAGAGCATCCCCATGAGGAGGAACTGCAGGTCACAGCTGGTGGGTTCCGGGAAGGACGAGATGGCGGCCAGTGCAGTGGGGGGCGCCCCAGGCCAAGGGGCACAGGGCCCCATGGGCTGCAGGAAGGTCCCCGCTACCTCTGCTTCTGAGCAAGAGTGTGACATGACCCGATTTATGTTTCCAAAAGATCTCTGGCTGCCGCGTGGAGAGAGACAGTGCCTGTAGCGCAGACTCTGTGGTGGTAGATAACGGTGGCTGAGAGCAGGCTGTAGCCCGGCAGGTGCCGAGTAGTGGCCCCCAAAGAGGGGATAGCCAGTGTTAGTGAGTAGGTGTGCAAGGAGATGGGGGCAAAGTAGAGAACAAAGAGGCAGCAAGAGCCGCTCCTCTACCACTCGGGCAGCACACATGGGCCGTCCTGGGCTCGCTCTTCAGGCAGGTCCCCTTTGAGAGGAGTGACCAGAGTTATTGTTTCTCAAAACACAAAGAAACAAGCGGAGGTCCGAACTGTTAGCAAAGATTTTTCCAAACTGGAGGTAGTTTTCCACCCCCCATTCTCTTCCAGGAGACTCCGTGTGGGAATGTTTTGGTTCCCAAGCTTTCTTAGGTTCAGAAGTTAAACCTGCCCTGTGTCTGTGTTGGTCTTTGCCTCCAGCAGGTCTGCATTTTTGGTAACAGTTCCCATGACTGAGGTTTTATTTGAAAGTTACTACGTTTCTTGTTCTTATGTTCGCACGATGGGTGTGGAAGGGGCTGTTTTTCCTTGTCTTGAGCATCACACAACGTGCGCAGCAGAGGCGACCCTGGGTGCAGCCCTCCCCTCCCCCTGTGACAGGGCCCGGGGGACGCTGGCCGGGGTGAGCGCAGGCTGTCCCAGCCCTGGGCCATTTCTCCCCTCATCCTCCTCAAAGTCGCCGGCTGCTCCAGGCATGCATGCCCCGATCCTCTGGCCGCACAGCTCTAGTCCTGAGCCTGCAGGGTCCATGGGTAGGGGGCCGGGCAGGCAGGCAGAGCAGAACACAGTGGGAACGGGCACCTGCAGAAACCAGGACGGAAGTCAGACAGGGTCAGCCACGAGGAGGGCAGGAGACCCTGGAGAAGTTTAATGAGATCCAGCATCGTGTTAAGAGAAAACATTGTTCTCAGAAATGTGAGAAAACTATAAAGGAACCATGATTTGAGATCTCATTATCCGACCTGGACCAGATTACTTTGTCCACTTCTTGGTTTTATCACTGAAGAGCCAGGTCAAGGAGGAAGTTACAGAGATGAGCGAACGGTTCGTGCTCAAGACCTCGAAGAACTAGTTAAAGGGACCGGGGTGATTTCCCTCCATTAACAGACGATAACGTGTTCTCCTTTTGCGTGGCATCTGGGGGAAGATTTGAAGAATGTAACTCAGCTGTGAGAGAGAAGAATGCCCTTTGGCTGTGCTAGAGAACTTACCGTCATCATCACAATTAGCGGTGCTATTTTGTGCGTCTAGTGTTTTATACCCTTTAAAGACTTTTTACATAAAACGCCATCTCCGGGACTTCCCTGGTGGCGCACTGGTTAAGAATCCGCCTGCCAGCGCAGGGGACACGGGTTCGAGCCCTGGTCCGGGAAGATCCCACGTCCCGTGGAGCAACTAAGCCCGTGCGCCATAACTACTGAGCCCACGTGCCACAGCTACTGAAGGCCATGCGCCTAGACCCGTGCTCTGCAACAAGAGAAGCCACCGCAATGAGAAGCTCGCGCACTGCAACGAAGAGTAGCCCCTGTTTGCTGCAACTAGAGAAAGCCCGCACGCAGTAATGAAGACCCAACACAGCCAAAAAAAAAAAAAAAAAAAAAAAAAAACACGGTCCGATGGAGACCTTGTGACTGCGGTTCCGAGGGGTGCCCTGTTTGCAGAGTCAGGATCTTCCAGGCACAAAGCTCTGTGCCCTAAGTGTCCAGTGGTGACCTTTCCCAGCCCTCTTACCTGTGGGAGTGCTGTGGAGCGCGGCCACCCGCCACTGCTGATGGAAGAACTCCCCAGGACGAGGACCAGAAAGTCCATGTTGTTTACTGTCACACAGAGAGATAGGGAGGCCGCTCAGTTTAAGTAAAATAATGGATGTGAAAGTTTGAGAGTGCTGCATAAGTTCAGTAGGCACAGTTCTCCCCGTGTGCCGTAGGTGCTGGCACACGTGGAGAAAACACGTCACCTCCATTTTTACAAGGGGGGGGGGTCAAGCTGGGATGAGACCTGGGTTGTCCTGTCTACTGATGTGGGCACAGGAGGCGTATTTTTAGAACTGTGGTAACATAAGCTAGCTTATTTTGATAAGTATGGTATTCATTATGTAATGGGCATTTAGATACTTCTGAATGATATGTGATTATCAATTTTGCTGAATCCTTAAGAGAATTTCTTGTACCTATAAATGTAAGTGCTTTGGAGATGTGATTAATAATATGAGCTTTTATTTTGGGTGGCCCAGGGAACAGATGTTGCAAATACTACTCAGGATAACAGAAGCTATCATGCAGAAGCCAAAGGATAAACAAATAAAGGACTTGTTTGCCCAGAGCTTGGCAGGGTTACTGTTTAGGGTAAGTCTTTTTTATTAAAACACTGCAAATGCAAGAAATGAATCAGATTTTACAGCAAATTAGTTTTAATCACTGAGAATTTCAAGAGTAAAATTAGACTAACTTTAAATTTCTAGAAATTTAATTAGAAAATTTCCTTATTAGCTTTGTCTTGAAGGTTGTAATCTTGTCTTTACAATTAGTGCTGGTCTTCTTTTAGGCCTTCCCACCTTTCTGCCATCTACTTCCTCTTTTGATTTGCTTAAGGTTGCTAGAAATTAGGAAGATGACAAGAGCTGATGCCTTGGTGTTGGGCCAGGTAGATTTGAAGAGGTGAAGGATGGACAGAGCATGGGTATAGGAATAGGGTGGGAGAGGTTCGGACTAGAGATAAACGTGTGAGGGCCATTGATGTGCTGAGCGATTGTGTTTAAAGCCACAGGGCTGGGTGGGATCACCTGGGGAGGGAGAGTGTGTCAGAGAGAAGAGGGCCATCTGCTGATGGTCAGATGGAGAGGGCCAGCCACAGATGCTGAGGAATGGTGGCCAGTGAGCTGGGTGGGTAACTAGGGGCACATGTGTCCTAGATGCCCTGAGAGCAGTGTTGAGTAAGAGGAGACAGCCAAGTCGACTGTTGGCTTTGCCAAGATGTTGGTGGCTGAGAATGTTCTAGGGGAATGAGGCCCACCTGGAGTGGATGGAGGAGAAAGTGAGAGCTGGGCAGTGGAGGTCCCAGCTAGAGTCATGGCTTTGCAGAGGGAATGGTGTGGAAGGGAGGGGGGAGGAGGGGGTGAGCTGGAGCCAGCGGGGGTGTGGGGAGCAGGGTTTCAGGAAGGTGGCGGTAAAGTATGCTCGCTCACCAGGGATGATCCAGGGAGGGAGAGTAGCATCGTCTGGGACAGAGAGGACCTCGGAGGTGAAGTCCTGGACCAGGTGAGGAGCCGGGTTGGCCTTCAGTGGGAGCGGAGAGCCAAGGAGATGGCTGCGGTTCCTGCATCTCATGGCGAGAAGGGTCCAGCGCAGGAGTCTCTGACGTCACCCTGAGGGGCAGAGAGGAGAAGGGACTGACGGCCTGGAAAGAAGTTGAAAGGGTCCTGAGGGCGGCAGCCTGTTGCAGCATTGCTCTTTTCTAGAATCACTAGTATTTATGGAATGCATAGTAGTTATGAAATATTTCTGACAGAGAAGAGTGTGAAAGAATGTGACGTTCTATCCAATAAAGGCCATGGTCCAGTGGATGGGCCTGACTTCGAGTAATCCAACGGGAGAATGAGGGTGGACCATCAGCTGGGGTGGCACTGCAGGGAGAGGTGGCTGCCCTCCTTGGGGACTGGAAGGTGGTTTTGGAGGTTGTGTGTTAAGAGCATATCCAGAATACAGGTAGGTTCTGTGGGTGCAAGTGACAAAAAAGAGAAGTTAGTGCTCTAAATCAAGCCAAATGTTCCCTTTGTAGCAAGAGAACCCAGCTGTTCATATCAATTTTGAACAGTTTACTATGACTGAATGATCTTGATCTGATGAGAAACGTAGGAAAGGCTGCAGAAATAATTGGCATGAACTCAGTTAACCCCTCGTGGTATAATCACCTTTAGTCTGATTACCTTGCCTTCACTGGATGGGTGAAGTGGTCTGCACACGCTTCTGTGTGTCCAACTTGGCTGTGCTCTTGCCTGTAGGGTGGCACTGACCACCTGCCCTGCGGTCTGCCTGGACAGACAGACCCTCCGCTCACCTTGCTCTGACTCTGGAGCATCTCACTGTTCGACCTTCCTGACCTCCCCTTCTTGATGGGACTGGAGCTGCCATGTGACATGGACGGGGGCCGGGCTTAGGCCGGCGGGTGCCTGGGCCCCACTCCTCACCAGTTGTCTAGTCCCACATGTATTGTGGGTCTTGGAATTAGAGTGAGAACTTGTCACTAGACTAAGCAAGAGTGTATTGTGGAGTGTGGTTTCTTTTTGTTTGGTTTTGGTTTGGGGAGGGGGGCAGAATCCTCCTCATTAATGGAGAAGTCTTGTCAGATCTTACTCGAAGATTAGTTTTGAGTCCATGATTAATAATGATTTTGATGTCGTTGTTGTTATTATTTTAGCAGTGGTTCAGTGCATCCAGAGGAATGCTTCCATTAATTAAGAGCTAACCATAAAGTAGCAGAGAGAAGATGTGCTTTTTAGACTTAGACAGATTCTGGGTTCTGACCCCAGCTCTGGTACTTCCTGGCTTTTGTGGCCTTGAGCAAATCACTTCATCTTTCTGAGTCATGTCCCTAATCTGCCACAATCAGGAAAGGGCTCCTTCCTACCTTCCAGGGTTGTTGGAAGAATAAGAGAGGATGCACCTGGGATTTATGATCATCTGTTGACCTCCCAAGTCCTTTTGTGAGAAGCCCAGGAGGAGGGAAATGTGAAAGGTCAGGGCAGATCTGCCAGGCAGTCAAGCGGCTCCATCTTAGTCCCATCCTACAATTAAAATGTGCTGTCTGGGCTTCCCTGGTGGCGCAATGGTTGAGAGTCTGGCTGATGCAGCAGGGGACGCGGGTTCGTGCCCCGGTCTGGGAGGATCCCACATGCCATGAAGCGGCTGGGCCCGTGAGCCATGGCCGCTGAGCCTGTGTGTCTGGAGCCTGTGCTC